AGCAAAAATTGGTTGGCGTATCCTTACTGATCCGGATTCCTTGTTAGCTCAGGTATACAAAGGGAAATATTTTCCTAATTCCTCCTTCCTTTCGGCTACGGCTAGATCCCGTCCGTCTTGGGGCTGGCAAGGTGTCCTTTATGGTCGTCAGCTGCTGGAGAAGGGGTTACGTTGGCAGATCGGGAATGGGCAAACTGCTTCTCTCCTTCACTCTAATTGGATTCCGCAGGTGCATCCCTTGCCGGTGCGGTTTAACCCCCGGGTGCTGCCTGTAGGGGGAGACCCTACTGTGTCTGAAGTAATCAGCCTGGAGGGCGGGTGCTGGCGGAGGAGAAGCTTACTCAGTGGTTTGACCCGGATACGTGCAATGCAATCCGAGCTATTCCCCTGCCGCGGCAGGATTTAGAGGATAGACTGATCTGGCATACCACGGCTGATGGGTTGTTCACTGTCAAGTCTGCCTATCATTTAGCAGTTTCAATTGAGAGAAGTAATGGTCGTTGGCGCCAGTTGGCAAGCTGGATGGATAAACCTAGCTGGATTCGCCTGTGGGAGGCTAATCTCCCTCCTAAGTTGAAGGTCTTCTGCTGGCAAATCTTTAATAGAATCCTCCCAACTACTGAAGCTCTTCGGGAGAAAGGGGTGGAGGTTCTCCCTCGGTGTCCGGTCTGCTGGGCGGAATCTGAGACCATGGAACATTTGTTTCTGGATTGTCCAGTGGCGCGTGCGCTTTGGGATTTATCGGGGTTGGAATATCTTGGCCAAGGGTTACCTCGGCATACGTTTCCTTTTTTCCTCGAGAGATTGATGTATTTAGTGCACCAGGCCCCTCTGTTTATGAAAGTTGTGGCTGTCCTTTGGAGGATTTGGCGATCTAGAAACTGGGTAGTCTTTGAGGGCAAGCAGTTTGGGATCCCGTCCTTGATACGACAGTTTAATCAACAGTTTGAGGAATGGGTTAGCCTGCCTGTCGATCGTCCCCAGCCGCTTTTGGCTACTCTGCCGAGTCCTCAGTCGTCGGATTCCATTGGGCAAGCCTCGTGTAGATGGGATGGGGCGACGAGATCTGGTTCTCATTCGGCGGGTGGGATGGTGTTGGTGGATGCTAATGGTAATGCGTTCTTGGCTGCTGGATTTCAGATTCCTCATATTGATAATCCTCCAGTTGTCGAGTTGTTGGTACTTCGTGAGGCCATTAGGTGGTGCCTGAATTTGGGATTTACAGAGGTGCAATTTGAAGGTGACGCCAAAGTCATTATTGATAAACTTAATAGGGCGGATGCGAGTGATAGCCAGATGGGAGTGATTCTTCAAGAAGTTATAAATCTTTTAGCTGTCCATTCTGGTTTTTGTGTTCGGTTTATAGGTCGGAGTAACAATAGGGTAGCCCATTTGGTGGCTAGGAAAGCCCTGTCTTTGTACCCGGCTACATGCCGTTTCTTTGATTTTCAGGCCTGGCTGTCTTCCAGGATGTAACTACCGTTATTTGATCTAATGGATTATCTTTGTAAAAAAAAAAACGGTTATTTGGTAATGTCTGTATTCCTTCTCTTTATTGAGGGTTACGAGTACTCAAATATTTGATTTTTTTTTAATAGAACTTGAGATCTAAAATCGCTACTTTAAGTATCCGCGAGTGTACGTGGGCATCTGGCTAAGCTGCCCACGTGATAGCACGACATGGCAGGAGCACGAAATATATGGGCCAGCACGGCCCGAGCAAAAATAATTTATGGGTCGTGCTGGTTCTAAACTTCATGGGCACGACACAATATGTAAGTGGGTTGTGCCGAACCTAACATTTTCGAGACCCTATTGAGTATAAAAAGAACAAGACATGAAAAAAATATTTATTTGATAGGAAATAAATATAAAAAGGATTATAGGTTCACATTTTAAAAAATACAAGTACAATAAAAATTATTTATTGTTGTTAGAAGTGATCATAAGGATATATACGTAATTATTACTATAAGTAAAAATAGACGAAGTATTAAACAAAGTCAAATCACACCCGCTATACTTCCAATTTTCTTTTCCCCTGATTTGTTACATTTATTAAACATTCTCGGTTAATACTTTCATTCTTCGCCCAATTTGTTCCTTATTTTTCATTCCCACTTTTCTTTTCTTCCTTTTCATTAAACATGAATATAAGCACGACACGATTCGAACCGTGCACGGGCCGGGCCTAGCAAAATTAACAAATGGGCTAACACGGCATGAAAACTGATGGGTAGTGCAAAGCATGACACGAAATAAATGGGCTCGAAACGTGCATGTGTCGTGCCGGTCCAAGCACAGCCCAAAGCCCATGTACACCCGCGGGTTACCCGTTAGTACTAGGGATGGCAATTTCGACCTGACCCGTTTTACCCGATCTGTTTGACCTACTTTGGGGCAGGTCGGACCCGTCTCGTAGGCGTGACGGGGCGGGCATGTGTACCTCCCATCGACCTGATCTACCCCGACCCACCTCATTCTTAACCCGTTCTTGCCTAAATTACATGTAATCTTAGTCCAATTATTTAGGATTTTCCTTTTATTATCTCATATTTTAGCTATAATAAACTTGTAAATAAGTGAAAACCTTAATTTCTCCAATAATTTAATTACATTTCATCATGTTATGGTTTCTTTCTTGATCTTTTAATGAAAATAACGAATATTTCTAATGTTTTTCACATAAATTATATACCCATTGGATCGACCTGCCCTAACCCATGCCCCATGATAAATTACCCGACCTGCCACAGGGCGGGTATGAGAATCGAGATACCCACCTCGGACCTGCCCACTACCATTCCTAGTTAGTACCCATTTGGATATTTATGGATACCTGTTATATCCATTAGTCCAAAAGGGTTTGGCAGCTTACCTGTGTGTATAGAGCTTGAAGCAGTTGGATCCCACTGTACGAGGTTGTTGTTAGAATTTGGGAAGAAAAGTAGAGGCTCCTTCGGCCTTCCCCATTGCTTGCCTGATAAACGTGTCGAGGGAATCATTCTCCTCTTCTGATTTCATCACATTTGTAACATTGGCAGCTTACATATAAGATGATCAATTTAATTAATAAGCCAATCGTAGTGTACTAGGAAGTGTCGCCACTGTGTTGGTCGTCCTCACGATGATGAGGTTGGTGATTGTGGAGATGAAAGAAGACAAGACAAGGGTGGTATTGAGGACATGAATGAAGGGAATATACGAGTAGTGAACTATGAAGCTGCAATGCGTAATGAGTTGGTCCCTCCCTACTGTCGACTCTTCATCTTCCAAACCTCGCAAGTTAGTGAACCATGCATATGCATTGCATAATGGATGGCAGAGCAGACATAAAAAAATCTAAAGTGAAAGAGCAAGCCTAAGCAACAAAGATGTACCTACTGGACGAGTATTTACGGGTAGTATGCCCACCCATAAGAAAAGGGAGGGGAAGAGGGAGAGGGAGGGGAAGGAAAAGTGGCAACCAATCATAAAGTGACACGTAGGAAGGGACCGGCTACCGTGACAACCCCTAAGGGGGTTGTCAATCTCGCTTCCCCTCTCAATGCCGTCTGTTCTCCTTCTTCATCTAGCGCCCAGGATCACAAGAAGGGCTTTTTAGTAAGCACAATATTCTAATAATTTAAATTGAAAATTAATTGCATGGAGAGAATCCGGGAACGTGATTGGGGGACAAGATTTGGGGAGTGGAACAGATGGGACTCTTTCCCTTCCATTTCAGGCTTATCCCTCAACATACCAGACCCCTCATCTAGCTACAGAAGATACCAGCCACGCGACGGCCGCCACCGCCATGGACGACTACATTAGCAACACGACGACAGTGAACAGGGGGAGTCAAATCTACGTGTATATTTGGGTTTGACCTGGATGTCCCACTGAAAATTAATGATGAGGATATATAAGACTGCGATGTTGAGCAGACAGATCCGGCGGTGAATGGCACTGATGTGTGCATGGTGGATGTTAACGACGTTCTGGACGTGGAGGAGGTGTTGAACGAAGATCATCCTGAACGGTATAATAACAGAGAAAATGTCCAATGTGGACTCGACGTGGAGAACAACGACGAGTTCGTGTCGCATTCCGGCAATTGCGTTGATGTCGACGACGGCGTGGACGATAACAATGGCGATAGGGTTTACCTGTGCCGTTACGACTTCTTTTGCATTTGTGCCATTTTACTATTGGTACAAATATTGTTGTGTGAAAAATGGCACCAGTACAGCTAGGATGGCACTAGTACAACTGATTTAGTACTAGTAACGCTAGAATGGCACCAGTACCACTATATTGGTACAAGGACAGCTAAATGGGCACCAGTACCGGAAAATGGCACTAGTACCACTGATTTGGTACCAGTATCATTCATATTGGTACCATTCCAGAGCATTGCACCTGTACTGGTGCCACTCAGACTCACCTCCAAAGTAAATAACGAATGGTTCGGGGAAGTATGACCTTTTCTTCTTAACTACTCCAACAACTCTTGACGAAAAGCCTCTTCCATGAGCAAAAAATGCTAGTTCATTTGTGTCAATGTAAGGTACTTAATTCTAGTAATAACAACTGTGTAGTTAAAATAACTAGTAACAAGGTACTTAGTTCTCACAATCCAACAAAAAAAACATTGTGCCAATGTAAGGAACAATACTTTGTCCAAGACCAAATTAAAGCAAACAAACACCACAACAAACTTGTTCATAATTACAAACGTACATGAACCATCTTCCTACTACAGCTGTGACACCTGGGTATATCCACGTAGTAGTGCCTCGTGCATATAAGTAGCTTTGCGAGTCATTTCCTCAAGTTTCAAATTACTCGGGTCTTCAACGGCTTTCTAGACCATTTGAGCATACCTGATTCAAGCTGCAAGCTGTCTACCGTTAGTTGCAAGCTGGTTATCGTCCTGTCAAGGAACCACACCAACAGGACATGCAGATTGTCGTTGGTATAGCTCCGGTTCAGGTTAACAGTGAAGGCTATCCTCACGTAGTCCGTTGCTTCTTCTCCTTCTTGAAACTCTTGGCTACCTCATCACGTGGCCGTTTCTTACTAGGCCAGCACCAGAATCACTAGAGTCCCCAAGCGGACTGCTACCTGCCGAGAAACATAACCAGCAGGTTGTTTGTTTTTCACAGATGTTGTAGCTGGTATCTTTGTTTTGGCCATTCCTGCATCAGGTTGTTGTGTTACAGGGGATGCTATAGCTGTGATCTTTGTTCTGGCCATTGCTGCAACAACACAAGTAGAATGGTATCACTAGAAGTACTACTAGCAATGTACAATGCTACTGGTACAATACTACTACTGGTTCCAATAAAAAAGTACCAGAAAATCATACCAAAACAAAACACCAGTACTACTTCTACATATTCGGACAATTAGTGGTACCAATAGAAAAAACCAGTACCAATTGAAAAGTACCAAAATAAAACACCAGTACCACTTCTGCACATTGGGACAATTAATGGTACCAATAAAAAACATCAGTACCAAAAGAAAACCCTAGTACCACTTCTACATATTGGGACAATTAGTGATACCAAATAAGTGGTATTGGTACCAAAAGAAGAGTACCATAAAATCATACCACAAACGAATCTAACTTGTACCAGTACCACAACTACCTCTAGCATAGATACTAATTTTAATAGTACCGGTAGATCATACCAACAACAAACAGAAATACCAGTACTACTTCTACATATTGGGACAATTAGTGGTACTGGTACAAAAAAAATACCAGAAAATCATACCAAAGCGAATCAAACTGGTACCAGTACCACAACTACTTCTGCATTGGTACTATTCTTAATACTACTAGTGGATCATACCAACAACAAACAAAAACACCAAACAACAAAGACATGCTTGCATGTGGCTTACTACAACGTTGAATCCGGAAAACAAAAACCAGAAGGGGAAAGAAAGCTCACCGCCGATTGTCTTCACGGACGCAGAAAAGCAGAATGGCAGAAGGAGGTTCGCCTACGCCATTAAAAAGAAGGAGATCAAAACTAGGTTAGCAAACTAGAATTTCAAAACAAAAGACGAAGTGGGAAGGAGAGACAGCGCCGACGAATTGGTCACGGAAACCAAGCATCAATGGATACCGACCGCAAATGTCCATGCAATTTTTTTTTTTGATCATAGATAAATTACCTTACCTTTGCCCCGACCAACAAAGTATTCGCCGGTTGCGAAACTACCAAGATCCGCCGCCAAAAACTATCGGTTTGTGGGGTTGGGAGAAGACGGAGGAAAAGGGGTTCTGGGGGCGGAACGAACAGGCGGGGAGACGAAAGGTTCGGCGGGGAGGATGGCTAATTTCTCCCCCCCCCCACCGGTTTCTTTGCTTTTTCAATAAAAGATTGACGTCAGCGAATTAGGGGGAGCACAATCCAGTGTGGGAGCTCTCTTATTTTCCCATGCCCATCTTGAACCGTTGGATTGAGGATTAGAAGGACGGACGACACTTAGGGGGGAAGCGACTGTCACGCTAACTAGTCCCCACGTAGGAACAAGAAAGGCGTCACGTAAATATAAATAATAAACAATAATTAATAATGCAGATAATGGGGGAAAAATAGCGGACTATATTACTCAAATGTACTACTTAACTGTGTTAAAAAAAACAAAAAACAGTTGTCCAGGGACTTGGGACCCGGTGTTTTCTTTTCGGAATGCATTGTTGTTGATGTGTTCGTTTAGGTTTAGGCTCAAGCCACTGGATTCTGTGATAAACTAATAATTTAGTGTCTAATCTTTGAAGAATAGAGCAGTTAAGTTAAAATTCACACCACAAATCACAAAATCCACACCACAAACCATCCAGACCACAAAATTCTCACCTCAAAATCCAAACCACAAGCTTGTTAGGTATCAAAATGTAATAGGGAAAAAATTAGGTACTAAAATATATATTTTCATCAATATTGTTCAGACTTATTTGTAAAAAATTAGTTTTAGACACTAAATATTAAGATGCATTAAGTTTGTGTACCAAAACTGTAATTTGTATATGAAATCCTATTAGAACACCCACACTGGGGTGGAGAAAAGTGGGAAAGAAGGAAAAAAATGGTGGGAGCTCACAGTGAAAGGGGAAAAGTGAAAAAAGAGGAGGGGAGGGTTTCTCCCTTTCTGGGTCATAAACCGACAAAGGGAGGAGAGGAATGAGGAGGCCGAGTGGGGTGCCGGCGACATTATTTTTTTTATTTTTTGTTTTATGTTACTTTTTACTTAATGTTTTATGTAAAGTGTTAAGGCATTAGGAAGCCTTACGTAACGCGTTTGATTCGCCTATTGCGTATGATATAACTATCATTACGGAAGGCCTATGTAATGGATGTATGTTTTACGTAACAGTTGTAAAATGTCATTACGGAAGTCATACGTAATTGATGATTCTTTTACGTAATGAATATTAACTTTACGTAACGTAAAGTGTAAAGTAATTACGGAAGCTTTACGTAAAATTGAACACCAAAATCATGAAAAGATAAAATAAAAAAAATAATTTAAAAACATGCCATGGATAAAAGCAATCAGGAGCTGCCAAGGTGAAAAAAGGAAAATAATGAAAATAAGATAACCGGAAAGTAATGACCGGGAGCGCCTGTTTGCCCGCTACTTTATTTTTTCTTTATTAACGGCTTAAAGATGATTTAATTGATTTTGATGGTTTAGATCTAAATAAGTTAACTTACTTGAAATTATACCTAAGTTATTGTAGGAGGTCCCATAATATTTTATATTATTTTTTTGGATAATGTCTATTTTTTATTCAAACCTATTAAAATGCTATTAATTAGCCAAACCTTTCGTAATGCATCAATATATTAGTCATTTTTTACGTTATCGTTAATAATTTTTTAATTATTTTTTTAGTGAAAATACTAAAATTTTGCAATATTAACCTACACGTATCTCTTTCAAGTCAGTATAATGTTGTCATATCAATATTACTAACAAAATTGCTAATTGAAAGTTAACATTTGGCTAATTCTTAGTATTTTGATAGGTTTGGATAATATAAAAGAATATGAAAAAGGTTTGGATAAAAAATAGACATTACCCTATTTTCTATATTAATTGTCTAGATGAAACATGCAAATGCTATTTATTATGCGGACACCAAGCAAGACTGGAAGTTTCAAGAATGTTGGACTCTACTCCAAGATTCTCCCAGATCAATACAACAATTTATGCCCACGTTGCACCCATTCCTCCAATGGATGGATCTTCATCGACCATGTTAAACGACGAACATGATAGTCCTGGAGTTCAAGTAACTGCTTTCCCAAACGTGCTCAATAGTCCGGTAGGTTGAGATTAGTCAAAGAGGAAGAGAAGAGGAATTGATGATTCTTCTACCATGGAGGCTTTCCAAAAGAGCTTGGCGGACATGGCGGCAAGTTCAGCAACACATGCGAGATTGGTTATCAGTAGGGAGGAAAGGGAGAAGGCTAAGGAAGCTAGGGAAAATGCCAAGTACGGACGAGAGATCATGATTCAGGATCTTTCTCAATTGGATCCTCAACAAAGAGCATGATATCAAGCTCAAAGAGATCAGATTATGTCAACGTATCAGCCAATTCCAAGCCATACACCAGAGGGGTCTGCCAATAACCCGTATGATGTTACTTACACCCCGACTAGTATTCTTGAATAAGTTGCATTTGCTTTAAGTGTGTTTCCTTGATGTTTGTTTTATTTTAAGTGTGTTTGCGTTATGTACTTTGAATTTGCCTTTGATGTATCCTTCTTATTATGTTTTAGTTCAATTATTAATGCAACTATTTTCTTTAGTGATGGCCAAGAAAAGGGAAAATTCATTAATGAGATAAGGAAAATTACAACACTATAAACACATAGCATAAACTTAGCACACAATACATAAAACAACTTAGCACACAATAAAGTTCTACTGTTCTTCGCCTGCTTTTGTCCACAGATGCTCAAGCAAGTCATCTCTCAACGCGTGATGCCCTTCGCGATTACGAATCCTATTGTGCCTTATCATGTACTCCACGAGGGTCGGAGTGTCATGATCTGGTGGATCCAATGAGACATCCGAATTAGTCTCATACTCAATATGCTCCGCTTATTCCTCTCCAAACTCATGTCATTGATCCTCAATTATCATATTGTGCATTTTAACACATGTTAACATCATTTCTCCCAGTGTTTGCAAATCCTAAAATCGACAAGGTATTCTAACAATAACCCATCTTTCTTGTAGAATGCCAAAGGCTCTCTCAACATCCTTGCGCTATTACTCTTGCCATTTTGCAAACAACCCATTCTTTTGGTTACTAGTATTGCTAATGGTATTCACAAATGTAGATCACCACTAAGGATGAATCCCGTCAGCCAAGTAATAACATTGATCATAAATACCATCTATCGTATACCTTACTTTTGAAAGATTTCCTATGAGGGCTTCATGAAAAAGTGGTGAGACTCCAAGAGTGTTCAAGTCATTGTTTGACCCAGCATTTCCTAAGAAGGCATGCCAAATCCATGTGTCGTATGATGCTACAACTTCTAGGACAGTGGTTGGTTTACCCTTGTATCCAGTATATTTGGCCTTGCCACGCTATTGAACAATTTTTTCACTGGCAGTGCATGCAGTCAATTGAACCAATCATACTCGGGAAGCCACGCATTTCGCTGTGATCAAGAGGGCGACGAAGATCCTTCACATGTGGCGCTTGTAAGTACTCAGGACCATAGATGCAGATGATGGCATTACAAAATTTTCGCATGCAGTGAAGTACGGTTGTCTCGCCCATATCAAAGGTCTCATATATGGAGTCGGCTGAGTATCCATTTGCAAGCATCCGAAGGGAAGTAGTAATCTTTTGTTCAAGGGAGAAAGAGGGGCGAGCTGCGACATCTTGACCTTGTTGGAAATAAGAGTCATGTTGAATGATGTCTATCTTGACTCGGTTGAACAAGGAGAGGGGCATCCGATATCTCCTTCGGAAGAAACTAGCATCGTAGGTCGGATTTGAGGCAAAATATTGTTGCATCAAGCGTTGGTGTGCTTCTACCCAGTTACGAAACACCGATTTGCGGGTTGGTGAACAATGATGAGATGAGGATGCTTGTTGTTGGAACATGAAGACTCCTGCTGTCACCATCAGTTGTTGACGTTCACGGTCAACCTGGCACTAATCCCATTGCATATCATCAACTTCCTGCTGACTCTCCTCAGCTTTTCTGTTAGGGGAACTCGTGATGCGAAAAGAGATTTTGATGTGAAGAGAGAAGTATGAAGTTGCGAAAATGAACAAGGTTGAATGGTGTGGATGAATAGAATGCAAAATTTAGCCTTCATTTATTGAAACACGAAAAGTTTCCTTCAGCGACAATATTATTAAAGTTGGATGAGCAGTTGATGGCAGCACTCAATGTGATTAAAGCTGGAGAAAAAGTTGATGGCACCACTCATTCTGAATAAAGCTGGAGGAACAGTTGATGACACCACTCTTTCTGATTAAAGTTGGAGTTACAGTTGATGGAACCACTCATTCTG